CAACATTCAGGGGTGCACTGACCCCAGCCCTGGGAAGGGGCGCAGAGGATTGGGGGCCAGGTAAGGCTGAGGCTGCCTGAGCCCCACAGGAACTTTCAGACCCAAGGAGGGGATTTGAGGGCCAGGCACGGCTATGGCCACCTGAGCCCCAATTGTAAGAGAGAGCACTCACTTTAAGACCCAAGGAGGGGATTAGGGGCCAGGCACGGCTACGGCCACCTGAGCCCCAATTGTGAGAGGCCCCAGTGCAGGCACGGTTGCGAGAGAAGACCCCAGTGTGCATCTGTGAGGGTGCGGGCAACCGCGAGAGAGGCCAGGGAGCATCCGCGGGGAGCGTGGGCAATTGTGAGAAAAGAGAGGCCAGGGAGCATCTGCAAGGGTGCAGGTCATTGTGAGGCAAGCCAGAGAGCCCGCGAGGGCATGGGTTATTGTGAGACAAGCCAGGGAGTGTCCGTGAGGGCCTGGGCCATTGTGAGACAAGCCCAAGGAACCCGTGAGGCCGCGGGCAATTGCGGAAAATCCAGGGGGCACCCGTGAGGGCACGGGCAATTGCAAGATGAGCCAAGGGGTGCCCATGAGGGTGCCAAGGGGAGAATTGACCAGACAACGTCCGGTACATCGGCGAGGCTTGGGGCCTGGTACAGGGCTGGTTGGAGCCACGCGTAGCTCCTAACGCTTTAGTGCACCGAGTCACCTAAGACAGAGCACAGACTGGGATACATCAGGGCACTGTGTCAAAGAAGACAAAAGGCAGCCTCCCTTAGACAATACTAACATCAAAGACGTGGCAGGTGAGATGGTGAGGATGCGTTGACACCAGGTTGGCACGGTAGGGGGCACTAGGGGAGTTCACGGCACCCCTAGGGCGCATCCTGTCACAGTCGGCTTTTCTGAAGTCAAGGACTTCCGTGTTGCTGATTGACTTGCCAGCTTTACAGTGGATGGTGAAGGTGATCAGCTCGTGGTCGCTGTCACCCAGCTTCCCATCGATCACTAGGTTGCTGATTAGGTCATCCCCTGTAGCCAGTACCAGGTCGAGCAGCGCTTTGCCTCTCGTTGGCTTATAGACTTCTTGAGTCAGGTAGAGGTCATCCACACACAAGAGGAAGCTTTGTGACCACTCAGATTTTGCTGAGTGATCCTCCCACGAGATGTCCAGGTAATTGAAGTCACCCATGACAACCATGGTCCTGGAGCATGCAGCTTCAACCAATTCCCGGGCGAACTCCTGGTCAAGCTCAGGACTTTGGGTGGGAGGTCTGTAGCAGACTCCCACCATTGTGTCCCCTGTGCCATGTTCCCCACGAATTTTAACCCAAAGGGTCTCCAGTCATCCACCCTGGTGGCCAATATCAGCTTGCAGGGACGTGTAGCTTTCCTTAACATGGAGAGCTACACCCCCGCCCCTTTTATTTACACGATACCACCTGTACAGGGTATAGCCAACTATACCCAAGGTCCAGTCATGGGTGGAATCCCACCAGGTCTCCGTTATCCCAATGACATCATAATTATTTGCATTGAGCAGGAGGACGAGCTCCTCCTGCTTATTCCCCAAGCTCCTGGCATTTGTGTACAGGCAGGCAAGTGTCCCCTTGGGGGCTCTTGCCT